CCTGTTATGGAGTGGATCGCCAGAGAGTTAAATGATTGTGAAGAAGATCTCAAAAGGTTTGCCACTAATTTCTTGTCCATCAAGTTAAGATTGGCAAACACAAATTCTCTGAGATGCAACACAAATTGGCTTGTATGGACCTTGATCAATTGGTAGCTTGCATCACTGGAGAACGGAACAAGCAAAGTGTGGTCAGGATTTTATTGTAAACATTTTATTGCTGGCCCTGCCTAGTGATTGGTCAACAGTAAGCGAATATTTTACTAATATTTTTTAAATAATTTCACATGACCAGATTTATATTTTACTGTCAAAATATAATATAAGATTCAATAAGTAAATTAAAGTAAATCAAATAGAATGGTATGCGAATTATTAATTAGGCTGGAGCTCTATAAACATATCTTGGTTGGTTTTCAAATTACATTGTACCAAAATTACGATCCAAGGTCATTTGACATTCACATAACAAGACCTCTCAGACAAATCATAACAAATCAGCCAGCGATTACCTTGCCCTTTTGGAGGCTAGAAGAATGGAGGCAGTGAAGGCCACGGAGGCCGTGAAGGCCACGGAGGCCGTGAAGGCCACGGAGGCCGTGAAGACCACGGAGGCTGTGAAGGCCACATGAAAAAGAGCTGCAAACCCACGGCCTAATATCGAACGTAAACCGCTTATAATAAACTGAGCCCTGATATTGCAAAAATAATAAGAAACTCAAGTTCTAGAAAATATGACTTGGGAAGCTAAAGGGCAACATCTTGCCGTATATTTACTTTATTTTTATTGCCTGTATTCTCGATTTACTTGTTATTGTCTTAAACTCTTAATTATTATTTTCTTAAAAAAATCATTTAAATTCTAGCTTTACTGATAAGTGTACATGAAAAATATGGTGAATGGCTTGTTGAATCCAGTATTATAATAATGGAAGAATTTTAATCAATTTTGCCTGCATTTCGTGCTTTGCTTGAATTATAAATACCTTTGAGATTAAAAAGCATTTTGAAACATGAATATACATCCTGTAAAGAGCAAATTTATGCCTATACTTGGAAGCATGTCCTTGCAAAAATTATCTGGTTCGAAATGTTTCTTGACTTTTTACACATTTTAATAAGAACAAAGCTTATAAGAACATTCACCTAAAAATAGCAAAAGTTAAGAACATCTTAAGAACGGGAAGGCTTTAGTTGAAATAATACTAAGAGCATTTCATAGTCGGTTGTTATGTAAATACTGCAGTTAGTGGATTGAAATGGTGCTTGAATGTAATTCTGGAAGTCATATCACCATCCTTTTGAAAAGGTCATTTGGAATTTGTTTTAATTTTGGTTCTATGCATCTAACGTTGAATTTTATCTAATTCAATAGATGAAAGGTTCATTTGTGCAAGTGAACGGTTTCAAATCGACTGGAAGGAACCTTGTAAATGTTGCTGGCAGCCATCAATCATCAAAAAAGCATATGATGAACCACACATCATACAAGTTGTTTAGGAATGTTGATATCGCTTGTGCTATAGATGAGGCCAGGCAAAGAGAGGTGACAAGACACAACAACATCGCATCACAGTATACAAAGATGCTGCACCACCACATTGATATTTCTGTGCTGTTGTCTGGCCAAGGGCTTGCATTTTGTGCTCACGACGAGTCTGAATGGTCAGCATTCCGGGGCAATTTCCTGGAGCTTATGGACCTCCTAGCATGCTATAGCCACGAACTGCGCTCTTTTTTAGACAAAAAACATGTGACGATTGCATCGCTGAAGAAGGATGCAGTGAGATCCAAAATCAAATCCACACACTTCGAATTTTATTGCAATCATGATGGATGATACTAGTGATATCAGCAATGTCGAACAGTCAGCAGTTTCTGTCAGGCTCATTCACCAAGGACAAGTGAAGGAGCATTTATTGGGACTTATCAACGTGAGTGATGACCAATCAGCAGATGGCCTAACCACAGCCCTTTTAAATACCCTTGCAAAATACAAAATCGTCCCAGATGCTTTCTGTGAGAAGGTTGTTGGCCAATCTTACACTGGAGCTGCGACGAAGAGGGGTGAGCTAAATGGTGTTCAGGCGCATATGCAAAGAAGATTTCCTGTAGCCTACTACAATCATTTTGTCGCTCACAGGATGTCATTGAGTACCTCCAATCCGCTACTAAAATTCCAAAAGTAGCCAAATTCTTCGCCACGATTGACAGACTGATTAATTTCTTTCGTAGCAGTCCAAAATGTTATGAGGAAATCGGTGCTGCATTATATGAGTTTTTAAATGCTTCCAACGCAAAGGCAGAGACTCAGACAAAAGCTTGTGGAATAGGGACACAGCTTGTGGAGCAAGTTGAGTTTGTGTTTTTGCTCAACACGTACAGGAAGATATTCAAGCACTGTACTCCCATAATGGTCACAATGCAGAAAACAACCATGGATGCCATGCAGCTGACCTCAATGATCAATGATTTTAAAGAAGTCTTGACCAATTTCGATTTTGATAGAGTTTGGGAAGATACTCTACTTACTGATCCTGAGCTTCCTACCGTTCACAATAGGGGAGGATGGAGAGCAATGGAGCAAGGAAATGATGGATCACAGTAGAGCTGGAGGTCAACTCTTACAAAACTCGGCAAAGAAATTGTTGCAAAGTTTACGGAGCAACTTGATTGGCGATTTGCAAACCTCTCAAAATTCCAATGGATGAATTTAGTGCATCCAAGCAAGTTTAACGAAAGAGAAGAAGCAACTGTGCGGGAGCAAAGACTGCTGATCAAGGAGCTTCGGAAACATTACCGATTTGCCAAGGATGATACGACAGCTAGCGTGTTGTACAACAATAACGAGATTTCCATTTTTGCTGAAAAAGTTGTTACGCGAGCATGATGCTTTGGTGGCTCAAAAGCAAGCTCGACAAGGAAAACGTGCTAGAAAAGAGGTGGAAGTTGGTGCAGATGCTGCAAGTGACACAGAAGATGTAGAAGAGCGAGATGTGTTGAAGTTGAAGAAGGCGGTAACCTCGAGATTGAATTGGTAAAGGAAGGCATGCCAACCATTCAAGATCTTCTTTTTGTAATGAACAGTGCTGACCTTTCTGAAGCCCTTCCACAAGTGGTAAAGTTGCTAGAGCTTGCTGTAACAATACCACTTACTAGTGTTCACTGTGAGAGAGTTTTCAGCAGAATGAAGGGTGTGGATTCCACTTTGAGATCAAAGATGCTCAAAACCAGAAAGGAAAATCTAGTTTTTCTTCAAGTGGAAAATCGTTGCTTAAGTTGCTTGCAGTCAGCCGTTTTAAAACAATCAGCCGACGTTGCTTTGAAAGATTTTCAAGGTAAGATTGGCTGTTTCAAGTTATAAACCTGCATAAAAAATCAGCCTGTTACAAAAAAAGATTTACATTTTGATGTAGTTACAAAATAAGGGTATAAATCATCAGGGCACAGTGGGCTGAAATAGGAGGTCAAGCGGACATTTGGGTTTTGGGCATATCTGGTCAAAATTTTCTGACAAATGGCTGACAAAGAAGGTGGGAAATGGTAATTTTGAGCATTTGGAAAGCCCTTAGGTAAAAATCATGGTCATTTTATCACCTTGAGGCCCTTCACAACTAACCCTAATAGGTTGATAAAAATTCGAAAATTTAGTATTTTCATACAGGCTTGAACTTCCAATGGGAAAAACACTTCATATAGACTATGTAATCAAGAAATATGCAGTTTCTGATGATCACAACATTTTTATCATTTTCATTTCATCAGAATACTAGATGGAAAATCATTTAGCACTGCACAGATATATTGTCTACTTTACATCTAAATTGATAAGCAGCGTTTTAAAGTACTACACTTTTTTGCATAATTTTGCTTAAGTAATGCTGTCACAATTTCTATTTAATATTGAGTTTGGTTGAAAGTTTCTTCATTATTCAAACAGATATAAAAAACAATATCACAATCCATTGCAATCAGAAGACAATCAACAACAAATCATTTGAACCAGAGGAGCTCAAGTAAAAATCCATATTCATTCTTTCCAATTTGCAAGAGCCTATCGTAGAAATTTGAAGCTGTATGATCGTAAATTGTTTGTTTCTTACATAAAACAGAAAGGGCAGCTCTCCTGAAACAGGCTTTCTCTGTATATTAATCTGATGGCGATGGATATAGATAGTATCAGTGTGTACTTGTGAACAGCCTTTTTTTTATTTGGAGCATAGATGAAAATCTAATTTTTCAGATTTCAGTATGTCTGCTCGTTTTAATGAAAGTTTGCTATGTTTACTTAAAGTGTTTATGCAATAGAAAATTCTAAATTTACATTTTTTCAAATTATAAAAATTTTGTCTTTTCTCAACACTTTGATTCTATCCTGGTCAGAAATGATCAACTTTAGGTATTTTTTCTTGTTTTTTATAATTTAGTAGTAGAGGTGAATTTTTTAAATTTGGCGCCTTGTTGGTCGTGACGTAACAAGTAGTAGTCAAGCAGCGAGACGAGGCAACGCGGGTCAATCCTTCATTCAATAACAACGTCGACGCTCTGGGAATTTATTAACTTTTTACGAAAACGATGGCATCCAATGACTCAGGCAGAAGCGATAATTCTGCTAGCAGTTCTAGTGGTGAAGAAGATTACGGTGTCGTGAGGCTGCAAGGTTTTGCGCCATATCAAGACGAGCCACTCGCCATTGCCGGGCAACCAACATTTCATTTCGAAGAAGATAAAGACGGGATTCCTCGCGCCGTTTTGGCTGCCAGGCAGGAACAACGAATAATTGTGGAAGAATGGTATTGTATTTTGATATTTTATACCTAATTATTTCGTTTCAAGAGGAGTTCTCTTCTTGTTTTTCAAAATAAAAACTGTCCTAGTAAGTTTAGGCCCTTTCCGGACTGGATCAGTCGGGAAGGTGTGTCATGAGGTGGAAACTGAAATTACTGTGTTACCCAGACACATCAAATATTTTATCGTTGTATTTAACGCAGGTGTTCCTGTGGAAAGTGTAAAGCGGATCGTTTGGTTGGTGCCCTAGAATTTCGTTGCTGCACAGAAGTTGCTGAAGCTAATGGCAAATTGACTTTTGAAGGTAGAGAGGACATTTCATGCATAATCCAACACGAAGATTACACTGCAGTGACAAATGAAGCCGTACTGACGATGACTGGCCCCTTATTGAAAGACAAGAATGGTCGAATATACAAAAGAAAAGCAGGACAAAGCAAAAACCAGTATGTGTGCTCTTGTATCTTTTTTTCCAATGCACTGTTACCAACAAGATGGATATTCCTTTACAAACGAAGCATACTTTGTTTAATCCTGCAATTAAAGCACAACCCAAAAAAGCAAAGGCGATGAAGTCTTAGTACTAATAGGATTCAGCAGTCAGAAATTGTGTTTTAGAAGAAATGTTTCACGAAAATCCTACCAAAGCCTTATTGAGGTTTATGATTCTACACCAGTCCCAAAAATTTACCAAGTATGGGGTATGTTTTTGGAACACTCTCTAAAATAACTTCAGAATATGGAATCAGCAAAAAGTTCCGCAATTTAAGTTATGAAACAAAATTCAAATTAAAGACATTTTTATTATTTATCATTAGATATTTGAGGGCAGTTGCATATCGTTGGGTAGTAAGGTGGATTTTTGGTTATCTGGGCTGGGACAACACAAGACCCCTTCCAGCATGCATCTACAACCATATAAGGGAAAAATATCAAGTAGCCGAAGCTATAGGGTATGCCTCTGCTCAAGAAAGGCAGTGACCTGCAAAAGGTAGGTACATTCCATACGTCACTGCATGTTGTTATTTTTATATAATGGAAAAAGTTGCTGGAAACAGTATATATATATATAACATTATAAATGAAAAAAACGCAAAATATTAGTCCGATCAATCAGATGGAGGGGCAACTGTTGCCTCTGGACAGTGGTCTCTTGGATGACCCAACTTTGGCTTTTTGCATTTCTTACAAGAGGGTGGGGCTCTTGTCTTCTTTGGAATGATTGCAGGAGAAGCTGATGACTGCAGCTCTTCTTGCTGTTCAACTATAAACATAATTAGGTAGAAGTAGAAATTTTGGGTTGCTTCAACATTTCATTGACAAGTAATTGTCCTAGTGAACAAGATAAATTCACAGAGTTGAAACTTTACACAAATGGCCCATGCAGACTGTAACAAGGCATACCTCAACAGCAAATATTAGCATACTTCAAAAGCAAAAAATTGAATTGGAGACTGTAGGTGAGGTAATCAGAACTTGCTCAGTCTACCCTGTTCAGTATACTGCTTAAATCATGAATTTTCCCCCCTGCAAGACTTCATAGCCCTTTAACCCTGGTAAAAGAACATTAATTAAAATCGGAAATTGTGATGATGATCAAAACCTACTTGTTGGATAATATGGAGTCTGTATAGACTTTCTTTCATTTTGGTACTTGATTGCATCAGCTTTTGTACGTCGTTCTGTGAACTGACTTGTCAGTGACTCTGGGATATCTCTGGTAAAATTCTCAAATGCTTCTTTCAGGTCTTGTATTGATTTTGACAGCATAATGTCTTTGATATCGTTAACATAACCTGTTAAGAGCAAAAAATTATCCTCAAACTTAAACCAATCTTTAAATTTTATTTCGTAGAGCCTGTAAAGTCTACTGGGAAGAAATCACTTATAACAATAAATACAAAAGTGCCTTACTATAAGTTGGAGGAATGGCAACCACACGCACTACTTCTTCTCCAAGCTTGAACTTTGGGTAAAGCACATTGTAGGATAGTTCACCATCAGTAGTCCTTTTTCTTTCCCTCTGAATATTTTCATTGAAATGCATGGCAGCCAATGCATGTCTAAAAGTATTAAAGAAAACAGATATTTTATTGATAGTGAACAAATAGAAGTGATTTCTCTTTGCTTACATAGAAAATCTTGCTTCTGTTGAGTGCTTCTGCCATACCTGTACCTTTTGATCCTCATGTTTAAAAGTTTTCAGCAGGTAACAGAAATGAAACAGGGGTGTAATATACCATATACAGTAGATACAGCACCAAGTTGTATCCAGATGAACATAAATGTAATATAGCCACAGTCAGCTATGTTTGTTTTATCCATTTCAAATTGTAGTAGCTGCTTCCACAAATCAACAGCTCAAAATGCTGTAGCAAGCTTTTACAGTACAAGTTGAAAACAAAACATATACCTGCAATTTGTTCCAAGCCAAGAAAAATGGGTCATCTTGGGATGCCAGTGATTCAGCAAGGAATGGAAGCCCTCGAGGCAGCTTGTTTGGGCATCTGAGGATAGCTTTTCAATATCTTTTAATAAGTTGCCATTCATCAAAATTAGACCAAGCTTGTCATGCTGTGGGGTTCCTTAACACAAAAATAAACCCTTTGAGTTTATTCATATACTTTGCAAAATCGTTAAAAATAAATAGGGGGAGGGGGGAAGGAGTCAGGGGGGAAGGAAACTAATTAAAATTTTCAAAATGTCAGAAAGCAATCACTACTTCTAATATTTACTCAAATCTGAAATGCAGCATTTCAAAGGCAAAAAAATCATCTACCAGAAATTTCATATACACTAACATAAATTGATACAATTTTTCAACTTAGTAACAGTAACTGTTAAATCATTATATTTCATTGAGTTATCTTGAATTTTGCAACTCTCATATATACTGTTATTTTTTGGTATGATATGATTATGATTGCATCAGATGTTGTTTTCTATTCTTGGTTTCAAACCATAAGAATAAGTTTTTAGGCACATGTTCTGCAGACTACTTTACAATGATATAAAGTATGCAATTAAAGAGACAAACCTTTCGGTATCCAGTCACGAGGCTCAATTTCTTCATGGGCACAATTTTGGAATAAGGGATCTGGATGGTCTGAATGTTGATCTGCAACATGGTGCATTATCGACTTCCATTTTGCAATAATCAGTTCTCCAAAGCCTTGTTTTGTGGAAACAGCACACCAATACAAATGGTTTCGAATTCCTTTCATCCATGATTTCAAAATTTCATTTCCCTTTTCTTGACTTGCTGCTAGGAGTCTCTTTGTTATACTTTTAGATACATGCCAGAAGTCATGGAAGTGCTTTGTCTCTGGCTCTGATTCGCGGATCCATTTTGCTATGCTTCTGTGTCTGTCACTGATGAAAGAAGGTATCTTCAATCCAGCATTCTTCAGAAATTCAAAGCATCTCTTTGCACCAAATAATTCCATTGCATTGGAACTCCCAGCTTGATTGGCCTGAAAATGGAATATTGCAACCAAGTTACTTAATATTCAAAGACTTTAAAGCTGTTCTTATACCAAGTATCTCTCATCACTGTATATTCCTGATAGGTATATTCTATTTATTTATTTATAGAAAGAATGTATATCACCTGTACTACTTCAAAATGGACAATTTTTGAGATGGAGTTGCAGAACATTGTATAAGCACCATATTTGGCATTGTGCCCCATCGAATCAAAACGTCCATCTCCTGACCATTGGACATCCTTCAGATCCTTCACTTTTTCGATTAATGATTTGCATTGTTTGTTCCATTGCAACAGTACAGAGGGAAATAAAAACTTTCTTTGATGAAGAAAAAAAGTACGCACTGATATTGCTAATAATCCCATGTGTTTGAACATAAGAAGAACTTGACTTATGGAAACACCAGATGTCAAAATGGCAAAACTCATCATAAGATTCCCTGCAGGAACTTTTCCAAACAGCAATGGCTGACTCTTCCACCTGAACTCCTTGCCACATTGCCTGCAAGACTGGGTAACAGTTGCCATTGAGCCTGTTCGATGTATCTGAACATTGGGCTTATCTGCTTTACAGTTGAAACAGAACTGGTTGAATATTGCCATCAGCATACCAAAGAAGACAATAAATTTGGGCTCATCAGTAGGCTTAGTCTCAGGGCTACAACTGAAAAGGAGAATGAAGTGTCAGCATTTCATTCAATATAATAATGTGAACTTTAATGTTGCTTTTGGTAAAATTTTCATTCAAGTAACATAGTATAATGTTCAAAAACCGTTTTTTTGTTCTCTACCTTTTTCAGCAACTTTTACCCAGGAATTATGAAAATTCAGCCCAACTATCTGACCCCTCCCAGTCCACCTGCCCCTATGAATTTGGGTTTACCATTAAGAGAAACCAAGAGTAGTTAATTTCCTTTTCCCACTTTGTGTTGCTTCCACAGCCATGTTTTTGCTTGGACATGTAATTTTTACACAGCGTATAATGTTTACTTACTCAACTCTGTTTTTTTTATCAAATTTTGCATCAGTATCAAGGACCTCTTCGTCTGATGAAAATTCAGTTTCTTCATGGCTTGACCAGTCCGTATCTGATTCTTCAAATTCAGTCTCGTCACGAGGTAAAATATCACTCATCTCTGAAAATGTTCTTTTTCTTGCTACACCTTCTTCATCATCATCATCAAAATCATCATTGTCGTCATATTCAGTAATCTGCATAATAAGTCAAAGTACATTACAGCTGATTAAACACTGTTTATATCAATCTGGTTTATAAGAAAATTTGACAGTTAAATAAAAACTTAATAGTGCTATGTCTCAAAAGTAGTGAGAAATTTTTCAAGTTGAATACTAATGACTTTGTGGCAATTATGTTATTGAACCCAACCTTAAATTTAAAAAAATAACTTTAGACCAGGAATCACAATATTTACTTGGTCAGAAGGTCATTCAGCTTTTTGAGCAAGTCTAGGAAGCAGCACCCCCTAGCTCCATCCCTTCTGCCTGGGCCTTCTGAAACCCATTTGACACAATATCTGAATCAAAACTTACTTCCTGTTGGGCATTGGCTTTCAATTCATCCCTTCTTTTCTTCAGGTTGTGAATTCTCTTTTGTAATTTAAGGATTTTTTGTTGACGAACACCGCATTTTTCACAATTTTTTTCCCCAACCTCGCCATCTTTTGCCGTGTTTCTTCCGCTTGGCATTTCTTCTTCGGCACTTTCGTGGTCACTTGGTCCATGCGATTGTAAAATAACGTCTCCTTCAACAACATGGTCGTCCTGTCGCTTCTCTCGAATCATGTTCCGAAGAATCTATGTTCAAAGATAACAAAGATATTATAGATTAGCCTGATTCTTATTAGGTTTTGGTGCAAGGGTACCAAAAAAATCGAAGTGACCAGAAAGAAAAACTTGAAAATAATTGAGACTGGTGAGCACAACAAGGAATTCTTACCTGTCTTTTTTCACGAGCTTGGAGTGGCAAACTGACTTGTTCTTCCCTAATATTCGCGACATCAATCAAAGGAACAGCATCTGGTTTTAAATAAACTTTCATTCCGAGTGACAATGCGATATCTCGTCTCATTGTGTAACTGGCATCGTCAAAATGAATCCCACACAAAACAGATTGGTCTGACGGATTCCAGTTAGGCCGGTGCCGGCGAACGAAGCGTACCCATAGCAAATGTCGCTCACGATCTTTAACTTTGTGTGGAAAATGATGGATAGATATTCCCTTCGTATGCTGACTATTTCCACAACTCACCCCGTTCGGGCCACCAGCAACACAACGTTTTCCTCCAACAGGTATAGTCGAAGCTCTCGCACGCATGTCCGTCGCCATTACTAATTCAGCGAATTGAATGATTACTACCATCTCTATGACTACTACTTTCTACGTCATAATCGAAGGATCAAATAATAAACCATTTCACCTTTGATTCCTATGAATCCTAAACTTTGGATGGCAATATTTTCGCAACGGAAGAAGATATCTCGATTCCGTTTTCTGGAATATTATTCTATTGATACAAATTTTTTATTTTCAATGACAATAAAAAATCCAGTCTCACATTGCATAAACACTTTAATGGTAAAGTTAATATAGTTGACATCAGGGTGTTATTTTACCTGTGATCGTGTAACCATTGGTTATAAAAAGTTTGAAGTCACCGAAAGCTCCGGTAAAGTTTGAAAAGAAAAATATTTAAAAAAACAGATATTCCAGATACTACATGACAAACTACTAACTAACAGCATAACCACAACCTACAAGAAAGCAAACGACAGCGCCATCCTCACAATAAACAACGAAGCACGGAATATTGCCACTGAACTCAACATTCAAGACCGAAAAGAACGAATGGCAGAACGACAAGCATTCATAACTCTGAAAGACCATAAAGAAAACTTCCAGAAAAACCCCACCTGCAGACTAATCGACCCCACAAAAGTGAAATAGGCCATATCAGCAAACAGATCCTTGACAGAATCAACACGACTATCAGAAACCAGACTACCCTAAACCAATGGAAAAACGCTTTGTCTGTAATCAAATGGTTCAGCAGCATACCAAACAAGCATCAACATACATTTGTTATCTTTGACATTGAAAACTTCTACCCCTCAATAGCCGAAAAACTCCTTACAGATTCAATCTTCTTAGAAATACTGCAAAATCACTGAAAAGGATACCAACATAATTATGCATGCCCGAAAATCTCTCCTATTCATCAAAGGAAATACATGGACGAAAAAATACAGCCATATGTTTGATGTTTCTATGGGGAGCTTCGATGGCACGGAAATTTGTGAACTGGTTGGACTATTCATCCTCTGCAAGCTGTGCTCAAAATACGGAAAAGACAACATAGGTCTATACAGAGACGGCGGACTCGCTGTCTTTAAGAACACTCCTGGTCCACAGGCAGAGAGAATCAGGAAGGACATTACAAAACTTTTCAAGACTCACAGCCTCAACATCACCATACAGACCAAACCTAACAAATCAATTGTGCTGTCCATACAGAAAGCCAAACGACCAGCCACTATACATCGATATAAAGTCCAACCATCCCCCCAACATCATAAAGCATTTACTGGGAGCAATCAGCCGTAGAATAACTGACATATCATGCAACGAAAGTGAATACAACAAAGCAAAGCCTATCTACGAAAACGCCCTAAAACCAGTGGATACCCCGACACCCTAAAATACAACAACCACGCATCACCTACACGAAAAAGAAGAAACAGACAGCGCAACATAATCTGGTACAACCCACCATACAGCAACTGCAGAAAAAAGATCAATGCCCACTATACAACAGCAGAGGGAAAAATTGCACTTGCCATGCGCAAAGAGCTCACATGGAAACAAAAACAAGCTTTTTGTTCTGGCCCTAGCAACGAAATTGAACCTGTAGTGATCGATAGCCATCTTAGTTTGGTCTCGTTTTAAACACAATAAAACAACTAATTTTTGTTTGAAACCATAAAAAAGAATAAGTCTATGGTGGATGGACTCTCATTCAAGATGAAATTCGTCAAGTTTTTAAGTTTTGCAAAGAGCCTCTTTATGGAATTTTTCTTAATTTACTTGACAATCATCTTCCTTTGTCATTATTAATGTACAATGTATCATTCAGACTATGCAACTTTGCTGAATACTTTGATGGCATGATAGCAATCTGGATAATGTTTTACTGTTTTCGAAGGCATCATTATGACAAAGCTCCTCTTGTTTGGCTTTCAAATATTCTTTACTGGCAAAAGAACAATCCAGCCTTGTTGGCTGTCTTGAAAGAATACTTGTCAGTGACAGATGAATATCCCGTGGAAAATACTCATTCAATCATAAGAGTGCAAACAAGGGAAACAGATACGCTAGACATGTTAACCAAAAAGGCCAAGGCATTGTTTAAATCGAAACGAGAGCAGCATTCCTTTAAAAGTAGCTTCACACCGCCAAAACCATTCAAAGTTTCAGGCGATCAACTGGCAGACCTAAATGTAAAAGCATCAGTCATCTTAACTAATATTTTTTTATAAATTTCTGAAATTTCCAAAAACAAAACGTTTTGTGACACCAAATTAGAAAAATTGCTTAAGTTCTTCAATCCACCTACCTCTAAAATACATTTTTTGCCACTTGAGTACCACTGCAGTCATCCACCAGATTGTCCAATTTGTCCCCTTCATGTTGGTTCGGTTATTGACAGTCATGGTCAAAGCAAAGTATGCGATATTTCATGGCACACATTTTTTAGATAAAGATGACGTTGACTCAACCGATTTTCCAGAACTTGAGCCAATGCAAAAGGAAATCGCAAATGAAAGCATAATTGCTTCAATAAGAAGGTTAGATCAAGCCGCTCCAAAGAAACCTTGCCTGGTAAAAGACGAGGTTAGCCAGCAAATGTTTATAAGGGAAAGGAAGAGGCCTCCTCACTGCAAAAGGTGTGGACACATAAGAAGAGGCCACACAACAAAAGAAAACAAAGAAAGTTGTCAGCTCTGCCCTGGAGGGATATGTGTGGAACAAGAAACGGAAAGTTTTTGCAAATACGAAAGGCATTCACAAAAAAGTGACTGCATGGAGATAGAAATTCCATTCAAGCAACTGCAAGCAGCAGGCATAACGGAATTGTCCTTGCCAAAACAGGTTTGTCAGTCAGGTTTGCCTTATGGAGCTAAAGCAAACTCTTGCACTGCGATTGCAATAGCTTGCAAACATGTATTAAAAGGCCAGATTCTTCAGCAACACTTACTTAGCCAGCATGGTTAAAGACTATAAAGTCATCATCAAGGAAGGCAATGTTATCTATGGCTCAACCCTTCCGATTCACAACCAGCCAAACCTGTCTGTAGTAGAGGTTACAACATTCCAACAAAGATTTACAGCTTTACAGGCCAAAAAGCTTTCAAGGAATAACTGATGCCAATGCTCTTGCCAACGAACTGTTTTCGCTTGCAAAGAAATATCCAAAATATGCCTGTGTTCTAAATATTCCTCCTGACAAGTCTGTTGCTTTATGTATGAGCCAAGGGATGCTTTGCTTTCTTGACAGCCATCGACACCACAATTGTGGAGCAGTTATTGCTTTTGCTGACCAAAGTAAAGTTTTTGAGATGTGCCATTTCTTAAAGCAGTTCTTCTTGCGACACTACAATACAGGAATCTACTTTTGCAATTTGACCTTCCTTGCATGCTATGCGTAACAACATTATTCTATATTCACATTTTCAATATACACAGTTTTAGCGAAAGTTGCATTGTTTTTGCCCCTTACTTCAGGCCTTTTTCCCATACAGGAAGCATAGTCCTGTAACGTTAGTGTCTGTTTGTGTACCATGAAATTTCTTAAATAAAATATTTTCACAGAGATAAACTATTTACCAAGTGATTTGACATGAAATGCCCCTTCTAAAAATTGTGACAGATAATTGCGACACAACCCCAGTTTTTTGACACATTTTATCTATTGAATTCTGTTACAACACGTTGTATAATGGTCTCTACCATTAGGCACGTTGCAGCCCAAAAAATTTCCGATCATGACAAGTGATTTTGCCAGCTGTACAACCATTTTATGGCGAGTGGTGCAATCCTTTAGGGCCGTAAGCTTAAACCCTAAGAGAATTTTGTGTTTGAATGTATGATGAAAGTTCCATACCTTAAAAAAAGAAAGTTTTGCTTGATTTTTTTCAACAATTAATTATGAAATGGCACGTCCTTCATGCTTTGATTTGTTATTCTTCAAAATTGGTCTTGGTAAAGATGTTATGCATAAAACACACTTTACTCTCCATCTATACTTTGGCTGTCGATCCATACTTCAAACTCTTTTCAAAGATAAACATGTGCATGTCCAGCTTCTCATTGTTAACGAATTGCGTCAGCTTTTACTTGGCCGTAGCAGTGAACATCAGTGGATGTGAGCTCCTCCCCATTGATCTTCCATTCTTTAAAATGAAAATACAAAGTACCTGAGCAAAAAAGGAAATTGCAGTTATTTTAACAGAAAGGTGGACTACATTTTCTTTCAGTGGAATTTAGTGATTTATTTTGTTGTTAACACAGTTCAGTTCAGTTCAGTTTTCATTTTAAAATTCCACAACATACAAAAATCCATTAAACAAACTAACATGAAAGTAAAATTATAACAAGTTAAAAATACGACAAAATAGTTAATATAAATAATTACCATAAACTAGAAATTTGTATGGAGAGGAATTTCTTGAGGAGGAGCTCTCTCAATAGGTAAACTTATCGAGGAGAGAGCACCCCCTGTACTAAAATCCTATTAACTTTTGAAAATCTTCAAAAAAGCAAGTTATGAAAGAATTTATTCTAAGTGATGAGACCAGTCCAAAGGCATACCAAGGCCCCCACCAAATGCACACCAGAGCATGAAATGCCCAAGAGAACCCGAAAGGCAGCGCAAGAGTTCAACACCCAGCCACACCTCAAGACATGCCAATCAGAGACACGAAAAGGCCAGATTGGTACTCCAATACAGCCTTAGATGCCCCCAACCAGCCCATCCCAAAGCACAGCCAAACACAAACATAAATGTGGACAAGAAAAGATCTTAACATGCAACATCTCATGTAAATTGTTATTTTTCTGTATGTTATTATCAGTATGTTTATGTAATTTGTTGTCACTGTATGTAATTAGTCTTTTTATAAGGATATTGAATTTTAAAATTTATGACCTGAACTGGAACTGAACCTGGAACTCAACCTGGAACTGAACCTGGAACTGAACCTGGAACGAAACCTGGAACTGAACCTGGAACCAAACCTGGAACAGAACCTGGAACCGAACCTGGAACCGAACCTGGAACCGAACCTGGAACAGCAGTACATTAT